AGTGGATGGCTGTGCTTTTAATACCTCTTTGGTTGCTGCTTTTATTTGCTTTCTTTTAGTGTGGTTTCTGTTTGATCCTCTTCAGTATTTCTATATTCACTGTTTTTAGCTTTAAATACTACGGATCTTTTAAAGATGCAACCCCCCCCCCTTGGGTCCTTTTTAAGGAGGAAAGGTGGGGAAAATATTTTAAATACACAATAAATAAATGAACCACTACAAAAAAAAAAGGTCCTACATTTGGGTTAGATACAGATGCAGTCTCAAAGCCTTCTTCAGAGCAGTAGAGAAAAATAGTTGATCTTCTATTCTAAGAACTAATTAGCAACTTTTAATTGTTCCACTGAAATAAAGACGGTATGAGGCATTACACTATTTTCAAAAAATGTGTTACAATGTCCCAGTTACAAAAGGCACAGTATTGTTTTTAACTTATTGTCTTCTAACTCTGCATCAGACTCCGTTTTCTTCTTCTTGTTGTTGTTTGGTCATTAAGTCTTTGGTCATTAAGACATCAGCGTCTTTTCCAGGGAGTTTTCTCTTCTCATGAGATGGCCAAAGGATTGGAGCCTCAGCTTCAGGATCTGTCCTTCCAGTGAGCACTCAGGGTTGATTTCCTTCAGAATGGATAGGTTTGATCTCCTTGCAGTCCAGGGGACTCTCAAGAGTCTCCTCCAGCACCTCAATTCAATTTAGCTCAAGCTAAAAATGAATAAAATAATAAAAAATGTTTTCAGGTGATCTATTTAGAAACCTACAGATTTTTAAGAGTCACTTTGTTGCTTTCAAGCAGGTCCTTGATGCAGGAGATGGCATGAAGACACCACCTCAGCCTTCCTTGCTCATCCTTCTCAAATGTGCACAGATGGAAACCAGATGTAGGTTTGCTCTGGAGCTTGAGAAAGTCATCGTTCGGGACTCAGCCCTAAGAACGGCCTCCAGAACCTCCACCATACTGGTGGAGAGATGTCACCATTGACTTTTCTGAGCTCTTCATATTATCGTGACAACGTTTCCAACCATGATTGAAAGAGATTTTTTTTTTTGGACAGCATCATCAAGCTATGCTGTCTAGAAGAGGACTGAACTTAGCACCCTGTTCTAGATGGCTGGATAGCTCAGGGGTTTAAGGTATCTGAGCCAGAGGTTGGGAGTTCGATTCTCCACTGGGCTTCCTTGGAGAAGACCCAGCCTGTGTGGCCTTCGGCAAGCTGTGGTCTACGTTGAAAAACAATTTTAAAAAAAGGTTGCCCTCCATCAGAATTGACTTGGTGGTACCTGGTTATTCTTCTTCTAAGCTTCGTCCACGTTTGAGCCCATACAAGAGAAGGGAAGCTCCCTTTCACATGCAGATGATGAACAAAAAGAACCACTCTTCCTGAAACCGCTACCTTGCTTCTGTCGCCGTGTGTGTTATCATTTCAGCCTTGAGAGCTAATCTGCCAGGGCTTTCTCTCCTGGTCGTCATGGTTACAATGATTATCAAGAACTCCATCCTGGTCGTGGTGGTGGTGGTGGTGATGATGGTGGTAGTGACAGGTGGGGGGAGGGTAAGCCTTCCCTCCCTCACACAACAGGTACACCTAATCCCAGCGTTGCTGTGTTGCTAGCCCCCGGCATACATCTGGGAGCTACTAAATGGCCAACCTGAAGCTCTGCACCTGTTGCTCCCGGAAAAGACGGCCGTGTTTAGTTTCCTTATCTCGTTAGATGTTTCAAATCAGATTGAAGGATGGGAATTTCCAGTGATATCGGAGCCCCCCCCCTCTCTTTTTTTGCTTTGGATAATTTCCATTCAGGTAGATGCCCTTCCTTCCTTGTTAATGTATCTTCACTTCAAATAGCACTCGGAAAGCCACTGAAAGGTCTAACGGATCATCACCATCAGCTCCACTTTTAGGGGTTTGGAGTTCATGGACTGCACTCCCCCTGACTCGGCTTCTTCGCACAAACAAGATCATTGCTGTGTGACCCCAGAATTGGAACCTAAGTTGCACGTGTGAAAGAGTCAACCCCGATGTCACCACGGGATCCCAAATCTTTCAGGATGTTTGGGGACCTATTCAAGCAGAGCAATGGGTGTCTAGCATCATTAGCTTATAGCTATTAAAGAAGAGCAGTCATCTGATCTGGAGTAAAAATAAGTAGCTTATATGTAATTGTTTCAGGAAATCTATTTGCCAATAGTGCAGGAGAACCCATTTCACAGCTGGATTACAACCCTCTCCTGCAACTGGCATGCAGAGTAACCATTTGGAAGAGGTCACAACCTCCCTCTAATGAAGACGAACAAGGAAAATTAACTTGCCTGGGGAACAAAGAAGCAAGACAATGATTTCATTTAGAAAGGACATACAGGGGGACGATGGAACATCAACACCCTTCCAAGGGCTAAGCGTGTTGATCCTTGTTTGTTAGTTCCAATTACATCAGGATGTTTAAACTTAAGATTGTTGCAAGGGGAGCTACTCCATGCTTGGCTTCGGCAGGGTTTCTTGATTTCATTGACTTATCCCGGAAGGCCTGCCCTTTTCGTTACCCACAATGACGTGGTGTTAACATCACCCTTGAGACACCGGCGGTGGGTGGGGATGCAGACGGCCAGCAGCTTGACAGATCCAGCCGCTACCACTGGCTATGTTGAGGAGGTAGGATGGGGTGGGGACAAATGAGCATCAGCACCACTCGATCCAAAACTATGGGGTTTGGGCCTGGACAGCTTCCCATAGATGTCAATCCTGTTCCCACATGCAGCTTCCCGTCATAAAAGCCTTGTTTGCCCATGAACCTCCATCGCTTAGGTGATCACATTTATCCTGGTGACTTGCATGTGTGAATGTGCTCTTCCAGGTAAAGCACCAGAGCCCAATGTCCCCTCGTTCTTTTCAGTTCCCACATTTCACCGCTAGCCATGGAACCCAGAAAAATCCAATTATGTCCACGCTGGTGTGGGCAAGTCTAACTTTGCTCTGTATCAAGCATTTGTTTGGCACTTGAGAGCTAGCATGGGATGGGTGGCTAAGAGAGGTGGGAAAACCTATGAGTTTTCTGATGCGTCCTCCGTCAGTGATCTGTGGTCAATCATGCTCAGCCTCACTTGTTCTGAGCATAAAATTGAGAATGATGTTGCATGTTATACATAACTCAGCACTGAAACAGGGAATTCCTTGAGCACGGAAAGTGTCTAATTGTCCCAAGAGAAGCCTCTGGTGCCTCCTGTAGTTTGCTAATTTGCTTGCTGGTTTCTGATTGGCTGTTGGGAGGTAAACATGGGTCTTGTTTGCAGAAATGATTGCTCCATTACAAAAAATCTGGCAGAATCCCATCCCTGGATTGTTCAGCTTCTAGCAAACACATTCTATAGAATGAATAGATGATTCCTCAGGGAGCGAGCCCTGGATACCACCGCCCTGCACTCCTCAGAGTGGGGGTGTAAATAGTGAGGGGAAGAAAGGAGACAAGATCCTCCATCAACTTTGCCATAGATGAAGCAACTTTTGGCCTTTCTCCTTGAACTTTATAGTATTTCAGTCAAGACCTTCTAACATCTTTATAAAGAAAAACAAGCGCCACGAGTGTCTTTTCTTCCTCACTCCCCTCTCGTCCTCTTTCCTTTTGTGTCGTGCCCTTTAGATTTTTCGCAAGCCGCTCTTTGGAAGCTGGGCTTCGGCACTTTTGTCCGTCTTCATGAGCCTCTCAAGGAGCATTTCGTGGTTGAAGAGCAGAGTAAAAAAAAAAACTCCATACAAACAAGCAAAGAAATAGAAGTTGCTTGTTTTACAGCGTGATCTTAGCAAAGGCTGCTGCCCTAAATATAAGAAGGGTTCTGAATCCGTACAAATCAAAATACGGGCTGTCGTGAAATAAGCAAGGGTCAAACAAAGCCTGCTGTTTTCAAGAGAGCAAGATCGTCGCTCCTGATGTAGCAGTAGAGATGTAAAATTTCAGATTTTTTTCCAGAAAAAAATAACCACTTTTTTTTTTTACAAAATTAAAAATGGACATTTTTCATCTCTATCTAGCAGTGATCCAGGAGGCGTTTCCCTCCTTGAAAGAATATGCAGCTAGCACAGAGTTTGACAATCTCTATGGGACAGGCAGGTCTCCCAATTCCAGTAATTCTCCAGATATCTTCAGCAACTGGATACAAGCCATCCCAAACTCATCTGCGAAAAATGACCCAAGAAGACCTGCAAGAAGGACCTCTGAGGTCCTTGTGGCATATGCTTCACCGGTAGCATTGGAAATGGGTGAAGGAATTAGCTCTCAGCCCCAGAGAGCAGAGATTCCAGAAGGTGGAGAACGTCAACCTCTTGACGAGTGGTCTAACGGGTTGCATCTGAGCCTCAGTGGCATCTGGCACAGCTACCTAAATTTTCTCAGCAAAGAATCCTTCCCTCCTATAGAAAAACATTGCTTTCCAGGGAGGTGTTTCAGCAGACCCTCCCTTTATCACGGTCTGTTACTTTGTCTTATTTATGATTATTATATTTTGAAGTTTGCATTTTAGCCCTTTGCCGCCACTGTGGGACCTTCCGAATGCTGTCCCCTTTCTATTGCGCCGGGGATAATTTTCGCTACGTTTATTTTCATTGTTGGAAACTGTGCAACGGCTTGCCCCTGGACAAGCGCAGTACAGAAATATAAGAAAGACATAAAATAAATAAGCCTGTTGAAACCGTCACCTAGCGTCCAGCGCTGACTTCTGGAACCCAGCCAGAACTTTGCTCCTGGAATGACAGCTGTTCTTGGGTCATTCTACGGAGTTTGACCATAGCTTGTCTTTGAGATCATCCCAGTTTCGTAGCCTGACCAGCTCAAACCTGGGTGGCCTAAATTCAGGCTGATATAGGAATAAAGAAATTGACCCTTGAAGCTTTAGGTGTACAGGATTCTGGGAGTCATGCTCCAAAACAATCAATATTTGCCTGTTAAAGCTTCCTGTTTATACACACACACATACATATATACAGAAATGGAGAAACTGCAAAGGGGTCAAATCAGCACTAAAAAAATAGAACTGTAGTTTATTTCATTTTGAATTCAAGTGAGGAAGAGATTTACAAGCATCTCTGGTGAAATAAAAAAAAATTGAGGTTCCAGTCTCTGCACTCTTAGCAAAATTTGTCCACGTTCCTAAGAAGCACACAAGATTTAAGGATGAAGCAAAAGATGCTATGGGTCAAAGCATCTTTTGTCGGTGTCAGCCTACTGTACTCATCCCCTGCCCTCTGCCCCACAAATACGTTCTATTTAGCACATATTTCACATCAACAGATCATGCAGAAACCGAGCAATGCCGCAGAAACTTTTCTCTTCCGTCTTTTTCAAAGGCTAAGAGCGCTGCAGGTGGGCAGCTGAGGCTGTGCATGCCAAGAGCGGCCGCAATCAAGCATTTTAATACAGATCCCTCCCTCCACTCTTCCTCAGTTCTGACCCAACCTCTGTGCAACCGATCTGAGACCTCGTGACTGCCTCGTCTATCGATGCTGGCACTTGACATGGGTGGGTTGCCTAACAAATGAACCAGGAGTGCTTTACAAACAGACTCGGTGGGGGCCTCCTTTGGTCTTCTTGGAACCTTGCAGCCTATGATATAGGACCTTCCTTGCACGCCACCTGGGAAGTTGAGTATTGGCTTTGGAGGAAATTTTGAGTCAGGAAACCACATGTAAGCGTTAAACACCATGTTCCTCGCATCATGGCCCTGAGAAGAATGGGAGCCAACTCAAGGCTGCTCTGAAGGGCAAACACCCATCTCCCACATAACATCTGTCCAGCTTCTCACCAGTGGAGTCTAAGCATCAATGTAACTTGCGGTACTGCCAGGAACTCTTCAGACACTGGTGTCTGATGAAGAGGATTCTAACACACAAAAGCTCGAAATGCTGCACATGATCAGGTTGTTTCCTGCTTATGGAGACCTTGTCAATAAGTGGCCTCCAAAAAGTCCTCTCGTTAGACGTCCCGCTCCAATCGTGCAAACTCAAAGCCACGGCTTCCTGTCCTGAGTCAGTCCACCTCATCTTTGGTCTTCCTCCTTCCCTGCTGCCTTCCACCCTTCCATGCATTATTGTTTTTTTTATCCAGAAAGTATTTTATTCTTGTGATATGCCCAAAGAACAACAGCCTCGACTTGATTGTTTTTCCTTCTAGAAAGAAGCCAGCCCTGGTGTCATCTAGAGCTCACCTGTTTTATCTTTCTGGGGGTGCTACAAGTCCCCCCCCCCTTTGTTTTTCTTTTTATTACTTGAATTTGGAAAAGTGTTAAGGGGTGGGAATCTGTCCATCAGATCCAGATACTGCTGAGTGATTTTAGCAGTCACGAGGAAACCTATGCATGGCCGTGGCTGGAGAGGAAGAAAAAGCCAAGAAAACATAGTGAACAAAAGCAGGAAAAAGTTAAGATGCCACACCGGCTACCATTCACGCTGCAAGTCCTGTATTCAGTGCCAAAAATGATATAGCTTTGCTCTCGAGTTGCTGGGTGACACAACTAAAGGGGGCACCACCCTGTTTATGAACTGCTTGTTGGGTTCCAATAAATGTCGAAAAATAAACCATTCTGGGGAAGAGAGGCAAGATTAGAGGTCCTTGGTTTTTTTCCCCCAGAATAGTCTTTATAGTCTCAGATCAGAGACAGCAATGTCTTAGGACAAAGCGGGTCCACTTCCTACCACATCTCCTCTGTCCTGACCTTAAATCTAATGCCGTATCCCTACAAGAACCTAAAGGGAAGTATTAAGAAAACTGAGTCACTCAACGGATTATAAACAGAATGGAAAGTATGGACCCAGCTACCTAATGGCAAGGGTTTAACAAGAAGCCTTCCAACTTGCTCTGTACCTGCATACACACAGACACTTGCGTATCGTGTGACCCTCCCATTTTGTGAGTCAGACGTGCTCACGAAAAGCAACAAGCAATACAGGGGGAATGGAAGCACCAACCATCTCTCAAAGAGAATCTCCCACTTTGTTCAGGTGTTAACCCAGCCTCTGCAAGCCATTACGGACAAAGCGAGGAGGTGAACAGGCTGGCTTCTAACCATTCTCAGGAGCAAGAGTGGCAACGAGGATGACAGAGCAGGGAGCAACCAAAGAGATACCTTTCTTCTCACCTCTCTCTGCAACCCATCCAGCACTCAGGACGTGGGCAGATTAGGGAGGCAGTATGGCTTAGGAGGTTAGGGATGGTAGACAGCAATTGTGCGAAATGCTTCTTGACCTGAGGAAGTGGTAGGAGGACTCAGGAGATGAGAAATGGGAAGCCTACACTCCTTGGTGAAATGGGAATGGTCCTTTTTTTGTTGTTCTGCTACGTTCACCTGCCTCTGGAACCAAGTAATAAAAAGTGTCAATAAACTGCAGATGTTATCAAAGCAGAAGGACTTTGCAATACAATTGTTACAGAAGGTCCGAGTCCAGAAGAGGAGGAGGACCACTCTGGGCAAGCCAGACTCTGCTGCCTTACAGAAGCCAAATGCCTTCTGCTGAGATGCAAAGCACTCTTAGCACCTTTGGTTTCCTGGAACACGAATCTAGCTTTGGTGTGTCTGAGACAAAACGCAGGCCTACGCCATGTCCGCAGCTGCCCCAGGCAAAGGGCACGCTACGTGCAGCTGTGCCGCATGTGAAAGTTCACCACGTACTCAGCGTTCGTCCGTTGGACCGAGATGGCAAAGGGCTCGAAGGGGTGGAAAGTGAAGGCGACCAAGCGTCGGACGGTGTGGTTGATGGGCCGGCCCAGGAGCCCGGCTTGGATTTCAAACTTCAGAAGGCCTGAATCACGTGCGTAGAACCTGCAAGGCAGAGGAAGAGCGAGAGAAGGCGGCAGTGAGGCTTCTGGTTGCAGTCCTTCCCTCTTCTGCAATTTAGAAAGTGAAGAAACAAGGCTAAAATAAAAATAGACTAAAAGACAGACAGAAAGGAAGGAAGATCAGACGGCAAGCCTGTCCTTGTAAAGCAGAATTCAGAAAAATAAAGTTTCCTTTTGCAGAGAATTAATGATAAGGTGAGGGGATGATCCAGCTGTGAGATCCATCACCCCATTAAAGCATGCGGCAGGTTAATGGCTTGACTCAAACAGCTTCCTCCAGGTTCGTCGTATTGTAACAGGAGTTTTCAAACTGGGTTCCAAGGAAACCTGACACCTGATGTTCTATCAGATACTCCTCAAGAGGGAGGTCAGAACCACCACCACCGATCTGCTCGTGCAGAGTGTGAAGTGGGCAAAATGCTGTACATAGCACGGGAGACATTTTATATGCAGGTGAGTCACGAGTGAATCCCTTAACAGGCATTGGGCCAGTGCTGACACAAGACTCGCACTGCTGATCGGAGAGTAGAAAGCAGACGCCTCGGATGGGTTGCTTATACTGTTGCACGACCCGATGGGTTGCTTGTCCTTTTTTCCTTGCTCTCTGTGTGTGTGCGCGCGCGAAACACAGGGACCTGTGTGCTTCTATCCTTAGAAAGGGGCAAAATGCTAGAGATGATCCATGCAAATTGGAGAATCACAACAGGGAGAAAAATGCAGCTGGCATCTCAGCCTTGCACTGGAGATGGGCGGGGGGACTCAAGAAACCCTCGAAGCCAGCTTCGACCCTAAATGAGAGCTAGGCAAAGTTACTTCACATCCCTGTATAGAGGCATACCTTGACAGAGTAATCCATAAGGAAGCTGCTGCCTGAAGCTTCAAAATCAAAGCTTCACGGAATGCACATTTTTTTAAAAAGAGAGGCTGTCAGCCCCTGATCTCAATGCATGTGGTCTCGACTCAAAAAGAGTCTCCCTCTTCTTCCAGGCGCTCGGTTACCGCTTGCGGCGCTTCCGGCTTTCAACTCAACGGATCCGACGACACCAGCCGACCCCACATGTGCCCCCACAGCAGGCTGCCTTCACAACCTGCCACTTCGGCTGCCCACAGAACAAGACAGACCGATGCTCTGCTGGTAAGTAGACACCCTCTGGATGTCGATAATGCAGCCTGTCGAATTCCTCACATTCTTTATTCTTTTCCAAATAGCCATTATTCTCTTTCTCATCTGAAAGCCCCAGCTGGCCTGACAATTAAGGAACAAGGACATGAGCAAGGGGGGAGGAGAGCAACCCTCTAAATAGCTGGCTTTCTCAATGGCCACCTCCTCCTCTGCAGGAGGAGCCCTCAGGTGGGGAAAGCGGGGCGGAGAGGGTGTGAGGTGGGGGCGGCCAGTGAAGGGACAGGGAGACGGTGGTCCCTACGTGCGTCCCCCAGCAAAAGATGGCCCGTTCTTCCAATTCAGGGCAATTTACCCTACTCAGGAAGAGAGGCTTATAATCTCCAAGATGGGCTCTGTTTGGTATTTTTAAATCTATTTCTGAAAAGTGCTCTGCAATCACAGGCCATTTCCGCAGGCTCACAAGCAGTGGCTAAATTAGACAGTGAAAAATGCAAGATGCGTGTCAAACAAGAACAGCCGTATCGAACATCTCTCTCTCTCTCTCTCCCTCCCAATTGTTATGAAGAATAGAAAGTTTACCTGACCATTATTTGGCTTTTAAAAGGCTCCCAACCCAGTTCCCTGTTAATTTTTTTGTTTAAAGATGTATACAGCACAGTCCAGGGGTCTTGCAGATGCTCTAGATGTACCTGATAGGGTGGTCGCCGCACGTCTTGGGGCGCTCCATGACTGACACCCACTTGTCGTCGTAGCTGAAGAGGGAGAGATCGAGGTAAGGGCTGCCGCTGTAGGACTGGGCGCTGATGGGAAGCTGACCGAGCAGCCTGCGCACAGCTTCCGTGTGGCCGCCATACTTTGCATTCACAATGGTGTCCTTGAATCTGAAGCAGAGAAAGAGAGAGAGAGAGAAGAAAAGAAGAGAAAGAAAAGAAGAGGGAGGGCAATGGTGAGAGAATGGATAGGAACAAATCAAACTAAAAAAAATTGACAACGCTGCCAGTACCAACTATACTCAACTCTTGGGAAGAGCAGAGCTACAAAGACAAAAGGAGGCAAAACAAACGTACAAATACACACACAAGATCATGAAAAAAGGATGGCACGCCCCCATTGTCTATAGCAAAATATATCTTTAAGAGCAAGGCTGGGAAGAAGTTCCAGAGTTGAGAAACATGATCTTATTTTGTGGGGGGGGGAAACAACTTTCAGAATACCCTTATGCGCAGGAATCTTGGCTCGAGGCCTTGGAGAGCTTTTGCCAGTCACTTGGTCTGGTAGAACGTGTGGCCCATGTAGACGCCCCACCACACCTTGTTTACAGTCCGAGGTTCGGTGAGTCAACAGAGTCATCCCGAGGGTCCAAGTAGTGCCGGAGGAGACCCGGCTTCAAATCTCCACTTGCGCTCAAAGCACAGGGCCAGGCATTTATCTCTCTCTCTCTCTTTCTGCCTTGCCATCTCGGCAGGCTAGTGATGAAGATAAAATGGAAATGAGTGGAGAGAAGCATGGGCGCTGTCATGAGCTCCTTTGGAGAAATGGTGCGATACAGATATAGTAACCACTACCGCCACAAATCAAGTGACAAATAAACGTTCCCATAAAGATTACAAACCAGTTCAACGTATCTGGGTCAATGAGTTTTGGGAAAACCTTAGGAACCTTTCGCAGCTTTTAAAGAAAAGCTAGGGAAATGATGACTACATTCTAGAGGATAGCTTTAATTTATACAGGGCAACACTTCATATATTTTATTTATTTAAAATATTTTTTACCCTGTCTTATTTCTCCTTACATAGGAAATCATACGATCTGAGAGCCTGAGATAATTCTCAGGACTCCTTGGAATTACACAACAAGGCCAGGGAACTAGTGCCCGGGGAACTACGGGCTGAGATATCCCCCTGCTAAAAAGTCTGGAAAAACACAGCATGAAGTAATCAATTTCGCCACTGAAGGGGGTTTTCAAGTAGACGTGAACAGCAGTTGTGCTGATGATAAACTAAAGCTCTGGCACATTGTTAAAAAGAATGTCAACCATTAATACATTCTTGAGCAGTCTTCAGTGAAACAACACTTTAGCGCCAGTGTAGCCTTTAAACACACACACGCACACAAACACTTCAATCCGCAGCCTTCATAACCAAGGTATGCACCCCACCCATCAAACAAGGAAGCCAGATTTTACGACATGACCCAAATGACGCTGACCAACTCTCACTGCCTAATCAGCGTTGACCCTTCTCAAGACCAGGAGCCTCTGAAATACAAGGCTGGGCAAAGATCAGAAATGGAGAGAGAGGTGGATTAGCGACACAGCAAATCAATCTATCCTTTTCCCTTTCAGGCTCATGAAAGCTGATAGGTTTACAGCTGCAGAGAAGATGGATGGTGAAATCCATCTTTTGCAGCTGGTATTCTTCAGATTATGTAAAGAGGAAGGGGAGAGGGAAAAAAAAACATCTAAACAGATGGAGAGTAAAAGGCCACCAAGAGAACCTTTCCTATGACCTAGAAAAATTATAGTGTCTACCTAATGAACTACAGTAGGAACCTCCCCCCCAACAACATTCACAAGATCCACTTATCCACTTATCCCCTGCCTGAAAATATTAAATTAAAAAAAAAAAAAACAGAATTGGCCACTAGGAAGAACCAGACACCATCCTATGTATGGGGTTCACTATAATCTGTGGGGTTTGGCATCCATGGGGTGGGTGTGTTTGGAACCAACCCCGTCCCCCCCGATATCTTGGTCCTACTGTCTTGCAAGCTCCATGCTCTCTTTACCGGGCCCAAGAATAGCACAAATAACCAGGATTCCCTGAGCTGCCCCTTATCCTAGGAGGGTCTCCCACCTCTCATGCTGCCCCTCCCTCTTATTCCACATGCCAACTCCAAACAGAGGATCTTCTATGAAGCCCTTGTTGCAAGCCTTCAAGGGAGAGCAGCAAGATGGCAGCCCCAAGGCAAATTTTTTTTAAAGTGAGGGGATTGATCTAAATTTCTTTGGTGGGGGGGTGCGAGACGGTCTGCTTCAACCCTAAGTTCCTGCTACTGCTGTGCTCATGGATGCTCAAGTCACATCCAACTAATGTTGATCCTAGTTGGGTTTTCGAGGTATGTGAGACATTTAAAGAGTGGTTTTCCTTGTGCCCCCCTCGATACTCAAATATGGAAAGTTTCCACGGCCAAGCCAAGATCTGAACGTGGGTTTTCTAGCTCCCAGTACAATCTACCATGGTGGTTCCCAATCTTGGGTCTGCAGATGTTCTTGGACTAGAACTCTCAGAAGCCTTCGCCGCTCACTGTGCTGGCCCAGGACTGTGGGAGCTGTCATCCAAGAACATCTGGGGACCCAAGGCTGGGAACCGCTGCTCTATCAACTACACCAAACTGGCTGTCCTAGGGCCTGCTAGCACCTCACCTCCAACCCCACTCTGGTCTTTGGGGAATGTTATCATGAAAGGATCACTGACAAAAGTCAGATAAAGTGGAGACGACCGACTGAAGCTGGTGGAACACCCACCCACTTCGCTTCCACTGGCTTTGCAAACCCAACGGGCCACTTGGCACCGGACCCCGACAGGCTCACCGGCGTTGGATCTGCCTGGCAAAGTTGTTGCTCGAGGCCGAGCAGGGGAACTGAACCGCCTCGCTGTGCAGTGTGGCATTTCGGAAGAGGTCGCAGAAGTTCTCGAAGAGTTCCAGCAGCTCGTCCGACGTATTCTCGAAGACGGCAATCACCTCGGTGGTCACCATATTGTAGACAACAAAGAACGACGGCTGAAGAGGGAGGGAGGAAGGAGAATTCACGTCAGGCGTCTGAGCAAAAGGCCGGAGACGGCAGGGGCCTTGGACAAGCGATTACCTCTCACCACCAACCTGGCAAAACCAACACAATTTGTGCTGGACAGAAGAATTCCGTCTGTCTTGCCAGCCTATTCATTCTCTTTCTAGCCATCTCAATAGGCAGCAGATTAAGTACGCTATTAACGACGTTCAAATTATTTACAAAGCAACATGGCATTCCTCCGTTCCTTATTTCTGTGGTTTTGTTTGTTTCAAAAATGGACACATCCGTGCTCCCATTTCCTTTCTCTGCCAAACAAGAAACGGTCTCTCTCTCTCTCTCTCTGTTTTGGTGTGTGTGTGTGTCTGTGTTTTTTTCTTCCCCCAAGAGTGGCAGATTTAATTTTAATTCCTGCTGAGAAGTGATTTTTAAGCCAGGTGGTGGCTGGCAACCAATTATTTAACTCCTCTATATGCAGAGAGGTGAGAGTTGGTAGGTTTTATTTGGGGAGGGGCTCGGAAAGGGTACTTATTTTCTTCTCCTGTCTTAATATTTCCAACATGCCGAGATGAGCCTTTTAAAGTGTATTGTGCTCCACCATTGCCTATAAACGGCCTACCCTTCAGGATCCCCTGCTGTTGGGGAAATGAAAGACTGAGCGCCATTAACTATTTCTTTTGAATTACCGGCGTTCTTATCCAAGAATGCCCAAAAGCTGCATTTTGGTTTTGCAATCAGTCACCTGGGTACTTCTGAAGAAATCTTTCCCTAGGTAACATTTTGCAAACAAACGATCGAGATTACGCATACTTCTGCATGTCTCAAAACCCACGGCTGGAGGTTTGTACAGAGGGTGGCATCCTCACAATTCTTATGTTTATTTTTAAAAAGTTTTTGGTCCATTTGGTTTTGAATTATATGTGATGTAACCACTAGGAAAAGTCATGGAGGGACAATCAACCTGTTGCTTATATCTACCATGCCAAGATCAGCACCACCACGATTCTACATCTCAGCTTGTCTCTCCCTACTTCTCCTTCACTTATCTCTTCCCTACTTGGCTGTTGTCACAGGGTCTTGGGGGCAAAACAATGAAATCCTGGAGATATAATTTGATTTTTCCAGCATTCAGAACCCAGATACATGGACACGTCTGTATTTCTGTGGCCCATCAGTTATCCCAAACATAAGGCTGTAGGATTCGAGGCTGTAGGATTCAGACAAGCTCACTACATACTGTGCTCTCTGCCACAGGAGGTGCGCCAGAACCCAATACCTCCACAACAAGCAACAGGAAACAAAGGGCACAATGACTGCTCAACAAAAGGATCGTCTGGAGAAATTCACAGACTGCCTCGGTTCCCTCCTCTAGAAAGTTCTACACAGAAGCCTTGCATCTGACCTTGTGCCACTGTTGCGACTAATTATTATTTTTTTCTGAAAGCTAAGAAGCAGCCCCAAAAGACACCTTATTATCCTTTTCTGAAAAAACATACAAGCCGATCCCACAATTTCATTAGACAACTTATCCCATCAGTGACAAAGGCTCTTATTGAAGGTTTTTTCAGACCCTTTTTCTTTATCTCTGAATAATCACTACTTCACTCTCTGAAATCCTTTCCAATTCATGCTAACTTGCATCAGCAAGTTCCTACAAAATCCACTTTAACCTTCTCTCCAGGTTAAACGTATGTCAGCCCCTACAGCAGTTTCTAATTCATTCTGCCTTTTACGCTTTTCCCGCATTTTCTCTGCAAACCCCTCCACAAGGCAAATGCAGACAACCAACCCTGAGTACAGAAGGACAGTAGGGATTTTATGGGACCACAGGAAAGTTATACAATTTATCCTATCTAGCAAAATCCAAAGAAACAAAAGAAAACAAGGCAAGAGAAAAACATCCAACACCTTAAAGACTAACTATTGTATTTTAATTTATCCTACTGTTCTTACAGCTGGGTCCGCAATCCCACTCTGTGTCTTCATAGTAGCCCACACTGACCAACCAGCCAAAATATCAACCAAAGCAGCATCTGCCATCCTTTCTTTTAATGCCAGCCTGCAATGAGTGCCATTTCCCATTGTTCTCTGTGCGTGTCTGTGCCCTGCCCGAAACACAAGAAACAGAGGCATGATATACATTTTATACAATTATGACGGTTAAGAGACTGAAGGGATGAGGTGCCTCCTAATATAATCGACTGTTGAAAAGGATCAGACAGTAGATTCATAGCACAGCTGATAGGCAGACAGAAGGTACCGGCTCTTCATGCAACGCATGATGAATCTGTGGAACTCATTGCCCCAAGCCACAATGATGGCTCCTAACTCCCATGTCTTTAACAAAGGAATGAAATCTTTTGCAAAATTGTCTATCTACAGCTGGAAAAACTCAATGGAACCTCCACGTTCAGAACCAGCATACCTCAGAATAATCATGATAACAGGCACAGGCAGGAGGTGAGGGCTATGTCCTTATAAGCACTAGCCAGCTTAACACCCCAGAAAGATAATGCTGGACTAGAACAGCCTCTCAGTCTGATCCAGGGGGGCTTCTGTACATTTTTGATTGGGAATTTTAAAAGCTAGTAGCACTCCACATGTTGCTGGACTATATGTCCCATCAACTCCAGCCCACAAAGCCAAGGGTGAGGGATGCTGGGAACTGGAGTCATCTGGAGGATCATCTGGCCACCCCTGCTCCTTATACAACCCCAAAGTTTCCCATGGGACTCCCTGGGTCCTCTGAGATACTTAAATATACAATGCCCATCAACCCCAGTCACCACAGCTAATGGTGATGGATGGTGCACGTTGCAGGCAAAATATCCAGAAAGAATGAGGCTGAGGTGATAGTTCTCTGTATCTAGTTCTCCAGAGCAAGGCTTCAACTTTGCCACATGAGTTCCTCAAAAAGGCGCCATCACTCACCTGTGAAGGGTCCGTCACCCGTAACGTGACCACATCCTCGCTTGTGTATTTGATGAACAGATGGTTCTCGTCCAGCAGCTGCATCTTCCACATGCGCAGCTGCCTCAGCTGGTCAAAATACTGGAAGAACCTCCTTTTGGCCATCGCGCTCCCGTCCTGCTCTGCTCTTCGCCACAGGTAGACCAAAAGCCTGTGCTTGAGAGAATTTATGAATGGTTCTTTGTACGGGTTTGCCATGCCTGTCTGGGAATCCCTCTGGACTTCCGGATAGACAGCAGAAAGCGTGAGCAGGTCGTCCTCATAGCAAAAGCGCCCTATAGTTCGTACATCAATGAAGGTGCCTTCTGGGGTTACCTGAAAGACATGGATAGTTTGCTGTTGGACAGAGAGAATGGCTAGGATATTTTTATAGAGATAGAGTCCTTGGTTATGGGACAGGATGATTTTATCACATTTGAACGTCCTGGTGTCACAGAGCCTGCCTGTGTGAAGATCTATGATGTGCAAGGAGTAATCTTCCAACGGCGATCTTGGGTTAGGGGTCACCGATTCGCTGTTGCGGTAAACCTCGAAAAAGGGAGGATGGGGCTCCTCAGGCAGATAGGCGGCAGAGCCAACAATGACATAGCGGCAGTCATCTGTGAACAGGCTGCATTCACGATTCAAATGTTCGCCATTGGAGGCCACGTTGGTGATGTGCAGGAGGACAAAGAAGCGTTCAAAGAGCCGGCCACGAATGTTGATGGACCTTTGGTCGTTGCCGTTGGCTAAAATCTCCCCCTCATAGCCCTGCAGGAGGTCCTCAGCCGCTTGACACCCCTGGTATTCATAGATCTCTAAAGAAGTCTGGTCTGAAGAGAAGGCAATGAAGTATCTTCCGTCAGGGGAAAACTTCCGTAAAAAGCAGGGCGGCTTTTCAACATTGACCACCGTAAAGTTGGGGAAGACGTTTTGATGGAAGATGCGGACCTGGTGCCAGTGGGTCCCCGTCTTGCCAGAGGTGATCCTTCGACGTTCTAGGCGGTAGATTACATTCTGGTTCTGGATCCGTCGAGGCTTAATGGTTGGGGCATCATGATCCATAACACCTTGTTCAAGAGGAGAGTGTCCCAGGATAGCTAGCATCTGACACAGCCAGAAGGCAAATCATGCTGTCAGAGAAAGGAAGATGCTGTCATAAGTCTTCTTACCTCATATTTTTCCAGCCTCCAAAACAAACGGGTCATTGGCCAATGGTTACATTGCATGCATTTAATGCTCGAAACACGAGAATGCCCACACTGCAGCATCACCCTTATAAGATGTAATTCGGCTGGCCAGGATTTCTGGGCGTTGAAGTCCAAGAACACCTGGAGGCCCCAAAGTTGGGGGGGAGCGTTGAAGTCCAAGAACACCTGGAGGCCCTGAGGGTGGGGGGGAAGGACCCCTGACTCCAGGCCGCCCAGAGGCTGGTGAGGAATTGAAGGCAGCCCAACCTCTGGCTTCATCACCCTGGAGACCCTCCCGTGCACAGACAGACACCCACCCACCCCAAAGAGCTTCTCACCCCCATCTATGAGAACGTCGCTCTTCCGGACGCGGTCCCTGAAGGGGTCGAGGAGGGAAAAAACAACCCAGACCCAGAGGCTCATGCAGGGGCACCACAGGCAGCCTCCAGCAAAGAAGAGCCCACGGGTCTAGGGGTGTCTGGGGGGGGAGAGCCACTGAGGTCCCCTGAAGGCACCTCCCAGGGAGGAGAAGGAGGAGGAGGTCAAAAAAAAGGGGGGGGGCTGCTGCTGCTGCCTCCCCGGCCTAGCTCAGCCCCTCATACAGAGAGGCAACAGGCAGCCTCCTCCTGGGGGGGGTGTCTCTCCTCTCCTCGCCTCCGACTCCCACGGCCGGGCTTTAAGGGGTGCTCAGGGGAGGCTCGCCGCCGCCTCCTTCCCCTCACAGGCTGCCACCCCCCCCACACACACACACACCCCTGGAGCCCGAGCCCGGGGCGCTCACTTTCCAGAGGGACCCGCCGGCGCCATCTTTCCGCCGAGGGAAGAACCAACGAGTGGCGCGCGGGTCTTCCCGCAGCAAGCCTGGCAAGAGCGTCCCCGGTCCAAACCGGAAGCTGGCCGCGCCATCCACACACCCCCTCCACGTGAGCCCTTCCCTCCCACTGGCGCTTTCTCTGGGCAGCGGCCCCTGGCGGGCGGAGGGCGCGACGTTCGCTCCCGACCCTTCTCTCTCTCTCTCTCTCGCTTCCTGGCTGCCATGGCAACCGCCTCCTGGCCTCGGAGGGCGCTATGGCAACCAGGTGTCTAGGAGGGAGGCCTCCTCCTCCTCCTCCTCCTCCTCCCGGCGCTTTGCCTGGAGCATCTTCGGAAGGGCCCAGCCTCTTCCTTCAGGGGATGGCACAAGAGGGGCAGGGCTGGGAAAAGTTACTTTTTTTGGCCCGGGGGGGGGGGAGAACGACCTACAACTCCCAGAATCCTGGGGGCAGTGGATGATGGGAGTTGTAGTCCCCTCCAAAAAAAAAAGAGTAAAAGAGTACCCTTTCCACCCTTTCTTAAAGCGATGGGGCTATGGCGTCCACCGCGCCACGATCAGAAACCCCACTTATGGCAATTTCTTTTCATTTCACATATTACAGCCGTGGACGTAGAATGCCAGTCCCCTCCAGGTTGCCATGCCAACCGCCCTCACCCGTTGGATGCCTTGCCGCTGCCTAGCAGGATGCCATGACAACCTTAGGCACCATGACAACATCTCTCCCCCCCCCCCAGCATGTAGTCTCTCTCTCTCTCTCAACCCCTCATCCTCCCTCTCTCCTTCCTCCCTTTTCACACACACACACACACACACACCAACAGGTCATAGCAACAGCCCCTTCCATCATCCACCCATTCCCACAAACCGCTATCCCAAAAGCATACTTGGAAAAGTGGGACACCTCAGTAGAGGCTTCCGTCCTCATTGTCAAGCATCAACAACTCCCAATAACCCTTGCCATTGCGGGAACACAATATGATGATGGGTATTCTCTGTAAGTGCTCAAAAACATACTTCCCCAGGCAGAAATGCACCTTTGATAGTAATAAACGTCCTGGTACAAGAGACACATTAACTCCTCTATTGCTTTACTCTTCAACAAAGACATTTGAATCTCCACAGGTCGCAAAGACTTCTGGTGCTTAAGGTAGATCTCGGACCCACTGGTAGATCTGAGTGATCTGCACTAGAGCTCCAAGGGTTTCTGAGACTAGGGATTTAAAAAACTGCAGGTAAATGCCAGAAGCCAAAAATTTGTAATAATTCTGCACTGAAGTGCATGTTATACAGATTGCTTCTTTCAGTGCTTGTCATTGGCGCCATAAAGGGAGCTACTGCCTTTTATCCCATCTTTGTGCAGCTCTGATGTTCTGCTTAAAGATTGTTGTAATTTGTCATAATTTAGATTTAACTCTGTGTGTGTTTGTGTGCATGTGCGCGCAAGCTCATGGCAGGTTCAGTTCAGTGCCTAGGTATGTTTCCACCGTGTCTCAAGTTACTGCACAGCATGGCTGTACTTCCCACAGTCATTATTTCCCATGGCTTTGGAGATGATGACATGCTGATTGTGCCTGGCTGGGAAATCCTGGCCCATCCTTGATAACAGTCCTGCGGTCCCAAAAACGTTCACCAGAGACACAGGTTGCGCATCTGAATAGGAGCCGAGTCAATACACGGTTGCATATTGCAGCTCCTAACCACCATCTGAGAATTATTCTGCTCAGCATCGCGATCCAAAATGCAGAGCAGGAGGTACAGCATGGAGCTGACCATTGGCTTCGCTCCCAGTCATGGTGTTACTGCTTTCCTCTCTTCCCCTTGCAAGTTTTAGGGGTGGTTGGCTTAGTTTTAGCCATGTAATAAGTTTGGATGTTGGGGGCGGAAATCTTGCTTGAGTTCTTATGTCAATGTTTAGAAAATATGTTTTAGCAGGAGGTTAAAAGGATCAATATCCCTGCTGTGTTATTGACCGTTTGAGTCCAACTCAAAACTCCATGGGTCTTCTTGCATCGACTCTAAAAAAATGGCTTAAATCCAAAAATCCCATTTTTGGAATATTATGAAACAAGGGGGCAGTTGGACCTGATATGTGTTGAGAATACCCCCTGGGTATAATCATTTGTAGATCCTTTTTGCTCTCTTGCAGCCAACAGTCATCACAGTTTTGCCTATACGCTTATGTCTCCTTGGATTATTTTTGGTTCTTAATAGATGTATATTTGCTGTTGGCTTTGTGTGTAGACTGCTAGGCAAAAATGTAATTATCCCCAACGGCCTTACAACTGGTCACCCTCCAGGCATCTTGGACTACAGCTTCTATAAACATTCGCCAGCCTGGCCAATTCTGTCTGGGGTTATGGGAGTTGTAATCTAGCACCTTTGGAACATGCCAAGGTGCTATATACCAAACCCAGCCTTCCAGAGTCCAATGTCTTCCATTTAGGATGTAAATCTTGTCAGTAGCATTTGATATATTTCTCAGTGCCTCTACCAGTAGTCATGTTGACTGGACATGATGGCAGCTATGGCTGAACAGATCTTCAGAGTACCGACTTCCTGACAGTGGATCTCTAAACAGAGAACAAGGGGTCAGGATTTTATAAGTTTTTGAGCCTCTGTAACTGCCATACACTTTTGTAACCTCTTACACACTCAAATAGTTAGCTCCACAGTTGTCGTATTTGCACTGAAACCTGAAGGACTATTTGCCATGCTGCTGATTTACAGATACTTCTGTGTTACATGAAGAGCAAAGGAATATTCAAGTGTTGATATTTAAAGCAGATTATTTACACACATCCTAAGCAATGTTCTCTTGAAACTGTTGACCCTCACCACAAAGGCTTGCCAACTAGCTCCACAAATTCAACACTCTGCCTCCTCTGAGGAACTGTTCCAGCTGCCGAATTACCTTTGTCCAACCCTCCCATCCTCAGTTGTGTAGCTATGAGGTGGTGGACTTGTGGTGTTTATGGGAATTGTGTTGCTGGCAGCCAAAGATAATCAAAGGACATACAGCAAATATGCCAGATAAAAGTCCTGAGGGCCCTTTCTCTTTAAGATATTGAAAATATCTCTGTGTATGCAGGATTGAAGGCCAGAACTTTCAGAATAGCAGGAAGTATGATATTATCCATAACCATGATCCATCTCGGGCTTTCTGATTCTTTCCGGAATTAGTTGCAAACCTCTCAGTGATTGGGAGAGAACTGGTTTCCCCAAGAACAGTTTATGATTGCAAGCTATATCTGCTGTGAAGCTAGATATTTAAGGGTGGATTGGCCTTGAACGAGCAGTTAAGAGCCATTGATGTCATAAAAGACCTGATCTTCCTTTGTTGATAGAGACCAATCCAGCTTCCTGCCTTTTTTTGGAGTTTTCTTTTAGGGAATGATGGTATCAGAGCAGCCATTCTGAGCATCTGCATTTCCAAATTTGCCATTATACTGCTGGATATGAAACATAACTAAGCAAAAAAAAATTAGAGATCAGAATTTGGTTCGAGGGAAAACACTTAAGATTCACAGCAATTTATTTGAAAGAATAGAACTGTCAGAACAAGAATCAGGGAGAAATTAAATCAAGTACTCGTCACACCCTGAGAAATGATGAACCACCTCAGGATGATCTTTATGTGAAACAATACGAGAGGACGCGGGGAGCCTTGGAGTTTGAGGCCAGAGACCGGCATGATGGAGAGATCACACAAGTGAAGTATTTGTGTAAGAGTGTCGTCGTGCTGGAAGGTATAGAGGACTGCATATGGAAGATGTATCAAGAAGAGGAACTATTCATTCTGTGTTTGTGCATGTGCTTCGTTTTATTCCGCTTGAATAATGCTTGGTCAAGGACAAGGAAAAACTTTGCCAGCATGGTTTCATATGTCAGGAGTTGACCTCACTCCTTTTACTCTGACGTGTGATGTTCTTGGACTATAAAAACCGCAGAGCATGGCTTGCTTTCTGGAAGCAAGCCTCTCTCTCTTTTTGCTCCTAGAGTAAATGACTGCAAATGAAAGGAACAAGAAGGTCAAAAACGGGTCTTCTGTTCCTTAATAATAGGGAACCTATTAATTGCGGAATTTATCCAACATCCGATGTTTCCCCTGTTCTGTGGTTTGGTGGTCTGATCCTGGATTCGTCACCTCCCTTACCCCTCACCATTGTTGGGAAAGAAAGCCACTGCGAATAAATACCTGGAGCTGCCACCAAGTGGGGGGGGGGGAAGAGACAGAGTTTTCTCATTGTGGAGCAGATGTGGCCAGGGAAGAGCAAACAAAACAGAAAAGGTCAGACGTCTGAATGCCACCCACTGTCTTGAGAGGAAGTGGGGGCAGCAAGGCAGTGAGGCTCCAGATTATTTCTGTTACAAAAATTGTATGCGTGTGTGTGTGTTACCTGTCATCCCCCCCCAGGATATTCCCCAATTATAAAGTTGTCCTAAGCTGGACCTGTACAGATCTTTAGTTAACTGCTCATCATCAATCATCTGTAGGCAAGAAACGCTGTGACTTGGAAGGGGGGAAAGACACAGCAGTACATTGGTACAAGTCAAGGGGAATATCAGGACCTCTGAAAGGGGCTTCTTTCCTTTTCAAAGCGAGAGAGGAGGGTCCCCGCTTGTTATTTTTTTTTAACCAAGACTTCACATTCATTGGAAAAGAAGTACACAAGGTCCAACAGGGTGAGAACCTCAGGTGATTCGGAGGGAGCAAATAACTCTCATCATTTCCGGTGCTGAACTGAGGTATTTTCTGGAGCATGATTAACTCATTTATTTCCGCCATGGCTACAAAAAAACCAAAAAACCCATCTCCGGTCCAGTTAGCAGAGTGCAAGCCGAGTGATTAGTGTCTTCAACCCTCTGAAATATGAAAATGCCCAGCAAACCGCCTAAGCACAACAATTTCACAGAGACTCTTGACTTAAGGAAACAAGGAAGCTACTGTAGAAATCTTTCTGCCCAAAGAGAGATTTGTGAAAATCTGGAGAAAGAGAATGAAGGTGAATGAATGTCACTGCCCAGACTTCAAACTGGGCACAAAGCAGTAGCAAGGTGTGTTTTTCTGCACTACAATGGAAGTAGGAAACAAACACA